TCCGAGGAGTCAAGAAATGCAGCCAGCCTTCCTAGGGACCACCAAGGTGGGCCCCTCACCCTAGTCACACACGCCGTTCTGCCCCTCCCCTTGACCAACCTCATCTTGCAGGAGGTTTGTCTGGGTCATGAGGAAGGTCAGAATCTGGGTAGAGTCCTCCAGGGAGCAGGTTCTAGGAGATTCCTTTTGCTTTTGCGCAGATCCAGCTGTAACTCGGCTGTCTGCAGGTGCCTCCCTGCTCTGCTGGCAGTTAGGTAAGTGTTTCAGTTCCCCCAACTTATCGCCTAAGTGTAAAGCCCTCCCCAAGATTCTCGAGACCTCCCAGCAGCACCCTTGCCCACAGCCGGGCACCCGACAGAGTTCGGCCCCTTTATGAATGTCGGCCTTCTGTACTCTGGCTGGCATTTCACAAGGTTAGGGGTTGCCCCGAAGAGTCACATAGCCCCCGTGTCTGCTCACAGAAGCAGCAGCTGTCATTGTGATGCTAGGGCAGTGTCAACGGAAATAACCAACTCTGCAAAAATAATACGTAATGCGGTTTATTTCTAAGCACGAATTTGTGTGACCTAGACTGGAGAGGAGGCAAAACACGCCTCTCTTTTGGGATGATCAGGTACGGGGGATCCTTTTATTTGATTATGAGAGTGAGAGAATTTAGTGAAGAGCTTTCCATTGGCCTGGCCCAAAAAGGTGAGACACGTGGAAGCGGGGCTTGTAAGGTTTGGGGAGGAATTAGTAGAGTGTACTTGAGCAAAGGTAAGGGGGCTTGAACCCAGTCACGAGATACTTTGCCAAGGACGGGATGTTGGAGGAGTCCTGGTATCAGTGAGTCCAAACGGTCTGTTAATGTTTGTGGGCGTGACTCACCCATTACAGGGACACTGTGCCAGGGACAGGGTGTAGGAAGATTTTTGTTATCAGATGGGCCAAAGTGGCCTGTTAATGTCTGTGGGCGTGAATCACCCTGGGCCTCCTGGAAGGGATTTTAGAAATAGGAAAAAGTCAGACTTCAGTCCTCAGCAGTGATGATGACAGGGGTGGGCGGCATCCCACTACCCAGGGACTTCCTTGGGACAAGACTGTTCTAAACCCTTGACCTGCATTAAAACCTTTAGCCCCTCGAGGTAGGTATGGCTATGACCCCATTTTACACATGAGAAAAAGAGGCACAGAGAAGTCAACTAACTTGCCTAAAGTCACATAGCTAGCAAGTGAGGGCCACAGGATTGCAACTTTGTTTGTCCAGCTTCAGGGTCCACCAGGCACCTCCAGGGCACCCCGAAGGTCTGCACAGGTTCAGACTCTCTGAAGTCTCGCTGCCACCTCTTGGTGGTCCTCCAGAAGTATCTGTTTCCCGTGAATGCGGGTCAGTCCCTGGGTCTGCTGTTAGCCCCTGTGACCTCAGACTGGCCACCTAACCTCTCGGAGTCTCGGCCGGCCTCTCTCTGTGAAGTGGGGGTTTGGAGGCAGCCCCGCCTGCCCGCCTGCCTCCTGGACCCACGGGGCAGCACCCTGGCAGCCCGCTAATGCTCACCCTGTGCCCACAGATTCCATGTACATCGAGGACCTGGAGGCTGTGCAGAAGCTGCAGGACCTGCTGCACGAGGCACTGCAGGACTATGAGCTGAGCCAGCGCCACGAGGAGCCTCGGAGGACGGGCAAGCTGCTGCTGACGCTGCCCCTGCTGCGGCAGACGGCCGCCAAGGCCGTGCAACACTTCTACAGTGTCAAACTGCAGGGCAAGGTGCCCATGCACAAACTCTTCCTGGAGATGCTGGAGGCCAAGGTCTGATGGGCAGGCACACGGACCAGTGCCACCCTCAGACAGACAGACAGACAGACATGGAGACCTCCACAGCCACCAGCCTGGACCTTCAGCCCCCGTATCATGGCTCTGAGCTGTCCCGAGGAATGGGTTTCCCACCCCTGGACAGTGTGTTCAGACTCCT